ACTGCTGAGGAGTCCCATAAAAGGACGAAACGGCCATCCAGTGCTTCCAGGTTTTCGATGGTGGTCTAGCTTCAATTGACCCATGATTCAACTCTGAAAAAAAGATCAAATTTTTAAAACAATGCCTTATCTCATTACATTTGATTGATCACTGGGTAGTGTTTTGCATCTTACACATCCTTTTTATTTCTGATCGAATTCTATCGATCGAGTTGTTGATTTTTATTGTATTTTGCTGCTCACAAGAAAAATTGATATGTTTGTGTTGCAACCTCCAATGAAGCTTCTAAACCTGTAATCAAAAAAATAGACAGCTGCATAAAAAACCTCCATACTCCTTAACTATTTCAATTTGTCTCACGTGAGATTATCAATCCAGAAGTAATTTTAGGCTTTCTAATAAAATCTGGTTATTCTTTCGACCGCCTTAGCAGTTCACGCGGTGGTAATTTGTTGCGCAACAATTCGATATTGAGTAGTGATCGATATCAGGACAGGTAATTTCACTGTTGCGAACTAGTCTTGTCAATTTACGTGTTGCTTGATCAACAAAGCAAATAGATCGACAAAGCGTTATCATGTATTTGATTTACCAGTTGAAGATATTCTATATAAAAAGCATCTCCGTTAATGTTATCATAAGTGAGTAATGAATGATCTCCACAATCATTGTTCACAATATTGTTTTACTCCCGATTATTTAAATGAACTACACATCGTGATATTTTCGAACAACTTGTCAACAGTGAATCGTCGCAGTCAAATCAGATTTCTATGTTTCTCATGACTCATTCATTTTACAAATCCAGAGTTCTGATTTATGTAGCACAATTATATTGATCAATGATATGAATATTTCACTTGAAGTATGTGACCTTGACTGATTGATTGTTTTCACTTTGTAGTTTGTTTTAGCAATAGACTAATGATAAAACAAATCAATTGGATTCATCAATAATGTTGTAGATCAGAAATATTCATCGATATTTTGAGCAGAGATAGTAAAGTGTCAAGGTATTTCTATATCATTAAATTATTTGTGTATGTTGATTGGAGTTATCTATCGTGTTCAATTGTCAACCAATAACGCTTTCATCTCTCATTCCACGTTGACTGAACATTGAATGTGTGTTCTTCAAGTACCCATCATCAATTGTTACAACAACTATTCAATACAGACCTGATCACAATCATTACAACTACTGATGAACATAGTGATATTCCATATTCTAATGGAATGAAACTGTGTGAGTGTTTTGATCTTGTCCTTATCAGAAATATATCTTGTGATCAACAATCAAATGGATTTCGTGAGACTGATTGGAATAGTTAGGGAATATGGAAGTATTGGAGTTTGTTTCTCGAATCTCGATCAGTGATGCATCTGTTTATTGTTTCGATGTGATGTTTAGAAGCTTCATTATAGATTGACACAGAAATATATCGATTTTTCTTGTGAATAACAAAATACAATGGAAGCCAACATGATTGCTGTGCTCCGATTCTTATCGAACAGATGAGAAATGGCTTTCACAAGTAACTGCACGCACCAAATATCTATGGTGAAGCAACACTAGTGTGAGTGAGCTGAGTAAACACAATGTGGATTAAGACTAACCACTCTTGTAAATTCTTTGTACCCACAATATTGATGATCTATCGACAATGAAACATGAGTTATTAGTACCATGTTACATATACCAGATCATCTTACACAGACAGTTTGATTTCTGTATCGAATTGAATTGATGAAATGTTGAGTGTGTGTATTGGTGACTGAGTGAACATTTGTAGTTGTTGTGAACTTTGACAACATGATGTGATATGCTGTTGGTGTAAGGAATGGACAATTTAAGTGGTTAGGTTAATTGGAGATGACATTATGTTGGTGCGTCACTAAACGAAAATCACAACGACGAAGCAACCTACCTAGCGTAATATACCATATGACATGATTGTAAATGATGTATATGATTTGAAATTTTATAATGTCTATAGTTAACACTGATTGATGTATGCAGTTGGTTATATGTTCAATGAATCACGACACTTTGTGAGTGAGGTGATAGTTGGATGTGATTGGTGTTGGACTGCATAAATTCAATTTGTGTTCACTGTTCGTGTGAGGAATTACGAAAAGATTAGCTGAGTATTCAGAATTGGAGCGAAAATCATTTACTGATGATATGGGAATGTCAATGAAGAGAAATGATCAAGTTACAGTAGTCTGGTGAAAATACCTATTTGAAGTGATTTGAATCAGTGAGAGATTTGGGAGTGTGTATTGATATGTTACACGATTTGAATTAAGAAATTACTTGAAATACTGTTTTCCTCATATATTCAGCATCTACAAGTCACAATACTTCTTTTAATTACTAACATGATTACATACTACTAGTGGATAGACCGTTTTAAGTAGATGAATGCTAATCAAAATAAATACTTTTGTTGACTGATGTGTTCCAAACTATGTATGTTAAATAAGCTCTGATATTCAGTCCCATTCATATTCTTTTTAAGACAGTCTCTGTAAAAATGAGAGACATGAGTTATATGTTTGATACAGGACGAAATAATAAATCTAAATGAGGACTACCATCCATTCAGTGCTATGATGAAACGGTTATTCATTCATTCATCATTCTCATTGTTTTCCCCTCAGAAATCAGTCTGTGCTTTAAATTGCTTCTAGTTAAGTTAGCAGTTGTATTTGTTAGTCATGTTCATAAATAACCAATCAAATCGTTGCTTAAGCGCTCACTACATCAATCTGGTCTGATGTATTTGTAGACTATCCTTGTTGCATGTGACCTGCTAATTGAAGAACATTATTATCCTATTATGTTACTGTGACTCAGAATTTTTATTCATTTCGGTAAGACACGCAATACTGGTCCTTATGTTTGTGCGTTCCACTTAATGACTATAAATCCTTTGATTATTGTACTAATGGAATTGTTTTTGCGTTTAAAAACAGATAAAGTTTTAAGCCAAGTTGTCCTTGTTCTGGCTATAGCTTTCACCAAGACTCTGGGGTCACCAGTATCGCATTTATAGTTCTAGTAGAAGATCTGTAGGACAAATCAAATTCTACAGTATTATTGAAAACTATAGGAGTGTAAACTATTCGTGTCAACCCTGTCCATAACTATAGTGACCAAAATAATTTTAGTTTCCGAGCTGACTTCTGTAACTCAGTGTGAACTTAATGTGTCTTGCCTTCGTCTAAGTATTAATGAATGAGAAGTCACTCATCTCATACGTATGATTGTCTCTTGTGTTTGTTTATTTTCTGCAAATATCATTACTATTCAGTATCTGGAAGTTATGTTCATTCTTCTTTGTAACTGGTTGATGAGTTTACTGTATTTACTCCACATATTTTTTTTTGAACATGCTTACGTGAAGACTGTAATTCAACAGTTTGCATCAAGTGTTTGAAAACATAGCTGTGAACAAAATGAAATTATACACCGTAGATTTACAAATTCTTTCTCATGAAAACTCACGTACATGCAATATTGATTGTCAGTTTTGTTGCCTAATTCGTGACGTAGTAGCTTTCCATCTTCACAACAGTTTTTGGTAAAAGTATTACATGAGTTAACCAATCACAATTAAGGCAGCCCCTCATGTATTCTGTGAGACATTTGAAGTCCAGTAACAGATAATTTGTATTTTATTATTAGCTAGATGCAGATCGACAGTAATTTATTATTAAAATGCTTGGAACAAATAAAAATATATATGATAAAAAACCCTGAATTTAAGATGGTGCTCAATCCAAGTGACTAAATGTACCAGCCCCTAATACAGACTGTTTTGTTAAAGTGCTTAATGTGACTCAATGAGTAGCCAAGAGTGTTTACTGACTCTAAGTAATACCCTATCTTTCTTACTCCAAATCTCAGCACTAATTTTCTCGATTTTTTAAACAGAAGGATCGTGAAGAATTGCATTACAAATGATGTCAGTTCATGATGAAAACTTCAACAGTCATTTGTAAATACGATTCAAATATCCAGTTTAGCTATCAATAGCGTTTTTTAGCGAGTTAGTTTTCTGCGGGATGGGGTCGCTAACCCAATGTCCAACCCTCTTCCTTTACCCGGGCTTGCGACCGGTAGTAATTTTAGAAGAGCTTCAACTGAAGTTTTAACTATTAATACCTGATCCTAAACTTGTTGAATTATAACCGATGTCTTGTGGTGATGATAACTCAATGAGTTGAGGTTAGTCCATACAAACAAACTTAATCAATATGTACCCGTGACTGGAAAACTGTCGTCATTAATAGATCTCAGTAATCTTGGATTTTATTTGTCTATCCTATTGGCCACAATTGGGAGTATGATAGAAAAGCGCAGAGCACGAGATAGCTTACTTCACTATTAAAGAATTCGTAAAATGTCCTAACTAAAAACTTAAAGGATTAGTGAAACCATTTGGTTGGTGTACCTTGGTCAACATTTCCATCTTCGATCAATTTTTTATAAAGTGTGACGATAATCTGATGCCATCATATCTTACATTGAGTGACGATGTAACGTATGAACTATTTAACCAGACAGACGATCAATGTTAGTGTTTCTCGCAATCATTTCTATTTGATAAAGAGATCATTGTAATCTAAACGATGAATGTGAAACAGGAAATTTTGTTAACCGGCCTTAACTACAGTTTCTCTATCAACGAATTTCGTTTAAAAATAAAACTAGCTAAAGTTCATGAACAACAAATGGTGAACAGCAACAGAGACAACAGTAATTCATTCCGTTCCTTTGGAAGACCGATTCGAACAGGATATCACTCATTCTGAGACTGAGCAGAACAATTACAAGCAATTGGGAAACAGTATAATTGAATAGTGATTTTATGACACATCAATGATTTCATAATTCGAAGTAACTGGCAGAATCCATTCCTGTCTTTTCATACACGTTCTGATGTTCATCAAATTACAGAAACATAATAATTCATTTCATCTGTTCATATCATCAATCTAGAAAACACAGCACTTCATAACTGTTCTCCGAATGTTCCTCACCACCCCATGGAAAATATGCACAACCATGTGATGGATGGACTTTACCAACACACATCTCATTATTCACTACTCTACGAGCTATGTATAAAGGTTCCGATGATTGTGTTTCACCAGCACATAATGCATTGTCTGGTACATTGCCTCCAGTATGTGAAACCCATCCATATCTAGATGAATGAACAATGGAGAAAACATATTGTTTATGTAAATATTTATAAATATTTTGAATAATATGTCGTCAGTGGATGAAATTTGTTTGGAAACTGCAGAATTGAATATAGGAAAAATGAAATAATCCGATAGACAGTGGTTACTCAAGAAATGCACTTGGATAACTGCACAACATGGTTATGGTACTTCTCAATTGTTACATTCTGAATATGAAGGCAATTAGTAAACAAAAGTGAAAATCTGTTTATAAAATCAAGATCATGTTGATTCTGTGATTTTTCCGTCTCTATCAAGATTAAATCACACGCTATCACGGAAACAATCAGTTCGAAATAACAACTGTAGAGTTTTGATGAGTACGGTAACATAAAACACTGACTATCGAATAAATAGTGAGTAGTTTCGAAATGGATTTCATTATAAGCTATTCAAGACGTGTAATATTTACTAAATAGTGCAGTCAGTTGTAAATGTTAAGAAATATATACAACATTTCGGAGTTTCACATCACAAAGTGACTCTGGTTAAACAAGCATAGGAATCCAAGAAGCCTCATATAGTGTACACAGTCTGAATATTTGTATAGGTCGATCAAGCGAATATTTAGATCTGATACTTTATCTGCTTTGAAAATGCTGCACAATATTCATCGTATGGTGTTCAACACTTAAGATAAATGCCAATCAAATTTCAACTGAGGCGCATTAAAGTTAGTGCAATGACAAACAGTTCAGTTACTCTGTATGACATCATTATGCATATTCTTCCTTGAACGGATTACCAAGTTAATACATTCGGCCTACATCTATTTATATGCGTCTGATTTAGTGTCAATGTAAATAAAAATAAACAAATTTATTCGTTTGATAAAACTAACATAGATACACAAGTATGATACGATTGTGTTGTTAGATGAATGCTGTGTGAATTCCATATGTAGTTTTATTCCAACAAATATTAATACATGCATGCAGTGAACAGTTCTTAAGTGACCGGTTCTATATTTGTAGTTCAGCTGTTCAGACCAACTGATCACATCGGAAGTTAATGGTAATGTCTTTCCGTGATGTACTTGGTGGTATTTATGCTAAATGCCATCTTAAATGGCTTATTCCTATAACTTCGAGTGTTAATCAAAAAGAATTTGTAGTCGAAGGAGTCTTATTGAGTGAATTGAGACTTTCCAATTTTTTTTCAATCTGACCTATTGGGTGTAGTTATAAGCATTTTGATTGAGGTTTTGTCAAATTGGTCTCTCGTATTCATTCATGAAATGTAAAACTATCAGTCCATAACTTGATTATTCAACTGGGTCCATGAATCAACTTATTTCAAACGATAAAATCAATTGAGTAGGACACACACTCGAAATTATTTACTTAAATGGTACAAGTTACTTTCAACAACTTACAAATGTTCTGTTGGCTTTAATTGTGTATTGCACAACACTTCGAAACTATCCAATTCAATTTCTTTTCCATCATATGATATATAACCTTTACCAAGATGTACGGGCCATTTTCCAGGTATCACATCATCATTAATTCGACCACGAATAACGTAGATATTAGGTTCAGCTGCAACAGCATGTGGTGGAGGGGTTTGTTTAGCGTAAGCGGGTAACCATGACAAATGCGCTTGTCGTCGTCTAGACTGAGGCCACATTCTTAGATAAGTAGATAAAATGCATAGAATGAAATAATTCTTTGAGAAATAGATTATTAAATCTTTGTAAGTCAGATTTATTTGTTGGGGCCTTCCATCAACTACATATCACGATCCTATCACTATTACTAGGCAGGTATTTAATTTTGAATTATTTTTCTCACTATTTGTGGTTGATTTTTTAAAATACATAAATGAATTTACTGTTACTGATAATATTAAAGAATCTTTTCATCTTAACTAAGCTCACAAAGCCAGACATCATTCAGGATTTACAAGAAATAAATAATAGGTGACTAACAGAAATATCGTAAATACAAAACGTTGAGAATTCCTACTTATTGGGAAACAGCTTCATGAATTTCACAAGTTTTCTATATGAGGTTATATCATTCATGAATACTCTTATTTCGACATTTTAGTTAAATTTATTTTTCTTCTTCCTACAGCATGACTCTTGCCATTCTTTCTGTTGTCTGATCTTACTTTTGTGAGCTACTGTTGAAATCAACATGTACTCTGAATGACTTATCAAAATTTTTGTCTATTTTTGTGAACTCTACTACTCCAGCTTGATACAATTATGTATTCTTTTTCAACACTCAACTTGTTCAATTTTTTCGTATTTAATAAATCTGAAAGACCCAATGTTTCTTTAACTAGACTGTAATCAATGTGATTGGCGCTAAAATACTTTCTAATTTTTTGCATTATTTTTGATAATAGTATCATACTTTCAGATAAATCTAGTTTATTATCTTTGAAAGTCTTCATATGTAACTCAATCATTAGTCAAGAAACCTGTTACAAATCATATTATACGATTAACATTGTAGGCTGCAAGAGCAGTAGATTGTAGCAACTGTTCTCGAATAAATACCACAGCATAATCCTTGATAAACGTGTGTATGAACAGTTATCTAAGGAAATCGACCTTATTATTGAAAGGTTCAATGCCTGAATGTATTCAATAACGGATCCATGGTAAAGTGATACATGATCTGAGCTGATTGCCAACAATTCCCATCACAAAAGGAATGTGTGATGGTGTAGTGAACAAGAACACGGATGGGGCAATGGAAGGAGTTCGAGCACAGACTACCTCACTAAAATCTGATAACCATACAGTAAACAGTTAATTTGCAAATTAACAATCAATTGTCTAAATCTTGACTGTTCCTTCTGCAAATATCAATCCATCTTCTCTGATTTCATTTTTCATGCATTTTTATACCGATTGCGCTTCGTTCCTTTTCTTTCCTTATCGATCTTCTGCCAGAATACATTCTATGCCTGACCATCACCATATACTACTTATGTGGATATAAGTAACCCACACCACAATTGTAAAAGTCTAGCAGGCAAACTTCAGTGAATACAGTGTTTAGATAAACAGAATTTCGCTAAATTATCCAAAAGTATTCGAATGACAGTTTACAGTTAACAGGTCACTCTATTTCTGATGCATTCTAACAGATAATTTACCAAAATGGTTGACATTCACAATCATCGAAACATGGTAGATTAGTTTCAAACTCGACAAATCTTTCAGTGTTGGAAAAGTAGTCTGTATGCATTTGTGGTTGATAAGCACAAGACATTTTGTGTAAGAAAAGTCAATTCATTAAAATCAATAATTCAGTCAATAAACTAACCTCTCAATGAGCTATGTCTGAATGGTGAATATATACAAATGCATCACGCTTATATATATATCGACAGATATTTATATATATGATTAAGCTCAATATGGAGTAGGTGGCACAACGTGATTTAGTCAAACCAATATTAGACAACATAAACTATAGACCAATAATAAAAATCAGGTCATTTTCGTCTACGTGTGTGTAGTTTAAAAATCAATCATTACAATTCAAATACCTTAAATACTAGGTTTATAGAATATTCGATAGACTGCTGTTTTTTAAAGTGCTTCAGCAAAAATTATAACTATGAAATTTAGAAAGAGATTATTTGGTTATTACAATCTCCTTCATTTCATATCCATTATGAATACGAGAAATTTTGTATCACAAAATGTTGAGTCCCGTGGTGAATTATGAATAGTAACTCTGAGGACTAGTTATGGACCAATCGAATATGTCTATTTCCTATTGTATAGTTGTTACGTAACTAAACTATTTATATTAGTGTTCCTTTTATCATAAGCTTTATTTTGACCTTTGAACTATTATTATTGATTACTTTCCCCTTATTCACAGCCATATTGGCCAATTATTGTACAAATGTTATTTTCTATTTTATGGTACGATCTGGTTTGTTTGTTTGGTATATAAACCCAGTATGTTTGTGAATAATTATTCATATTGCCGAGGCTGCTTTTGGTGTTCTGGACTTAACTGTCTGGGCTAGGCATATAACAGGACCGAGTAGTACTCAAGACTGATCGTACGATTTTATGTATCATTGCTCCTCTCGATAATTCGCTCTTCTCTCATTGGCGAGGATCAGCACGTTCATTTATCAAACAGGGCACTCACGCACCCCCACGTTATAACACAAATCAAACACTACCTTCATCATTAAAGCGTTGACAAGGAAAATGTTTGAAAGTAGAACCTTTGTCTGCCTATGCAACAAAAGGAATGTATTGAGGTGATAGCACTGTGTCGATTTTTCACCGCTATCAGCTTAACACTCGTGTTTTTGGTTAACTATGACAAAATTTAAGTGAAACATTTTTCAGTATAAAGGTTTGTGTAAAATACTGAGTATTATTGATATCACAAACCAATCCGGGTCATGCATCCATTAAAAACTAGGAATCACTGTATAGCTCTTGGGTCCCAGCATAAGATTGTCCGATAGTGCTTATTCACAACCTCATAATCGGGGATCTAACACAGAACTTACTTAACCTCCTGGAATTATTGTGTGAAGGGTGGTACTGCTATGTTTGAAGAGATTACGCGATCACCTAAAATCGGCGAACGGAGCGAAGGTTCAGCGACAAAACGACAAGTTAAACTATCTCAATGCGTCCCAGTCTTGGTAACGGGATGGAGAAGTTCGGGTTCAAGATGAGGGAAAGTATATTCCACAAGCAGCCTGAAGCTGGAATAACAATAAACACAACTCTAGTGTATATATACAGCATAACAATGTTCTTGGGTAACGTCATGAAATAGCAGGTTCATTTTCTTATATATATATATATATATATATATATATATATATATATATATATTCGGATCAATAAATGATCTATTGTAATGAACATATTCTAATATTCGAGTAGAAATCCTATAACCCGTTAAATCAACCAAATGTCTAGTGGTTTGGATACTTACCAATGCAAAAATATGATCAATATCATGAAGTAATTGATGATCATTACACCATTACACTCATCAGCTTTCCAGGGATTATGTAATTAGTATTCCGCTCTAATAATGTCCAATAGAGAAACTTCATACCCTTAGTTCTTTTTATTATTTTAAAGAGAACAAGAATAAAACGTTGAGCAGAATGACGTGAATTCATTTTATTTTGTTAGGTTCTAATCACTTATTTACAACCTATAAAAAATGACGTAATGATTTTATGATAAGATAAATGCTCAAGCGTTATACTAATAAATGGTTATTTCACTTTTCCACGAAGTTGCACGCTAACTAGCGGAAAGGTTATAACTAATTCTTCAAAGTTTAGACTCCTGGTAAGTAGATGGCTTCTTTAGATGTGATATCTTTATTTATCAGAGGGGGTTTTGTGGAGATTTAGTATTTTTCATAGTTTTAAAGCATGAGTCAATTGAAGCTAGACCACCATGGAAAACCTGGAAACACTGGACGTCCGTTTCGTCCTATTATGGGACTCTTCTCGCGCGAACGGGTTCGTGGATGCGCACTGCTGAGGAGTCCCATAATAGGACGAAACGGCCATCCAGTGTTTCCAGGTTTTCCATGGTGGTCTAGCTTCAATTGACTCATGCTTTAAAACTATATCTTTATTTACCGAAATACCGCTTTCTAAAAACATATGCATAATTTGCGAGCAATCTGACCTTTAACCTCTACTACTGTCAGGACTCAAACGATTGAAAATTATGTATACAAAAGACGTTCACATTCAAATTCATAATAATAATAATAGTTATTATTATTATAAAATGATTTGTGAATAAAGATGAAAGAGACAATTACGTTTAACTCCGAAAGGTCGTAAGTACGATAGTCAAATTAGGTCATCCAATAGCTAAGATTACTATTGATTAATTGGTCTTGTGGTTGGCCGGGAGAGGAGGAAAGTTTGGAGATATTTCTTTTGTACGCATAGCTCCGGTTTCTTCATCCGGATGCCTACTGCCTCAGACGTTTGAAGGACTTTAAGCCTGATAAGCTTTGGCTAAAGATTACTGACCCTATAAACAATTGGTAAAGATTGGTTTGTACTGGCATTATGACCAGTTTGTACTAAATGGACCAATATCGAGCTGTTCACTTTCTTCACTAAACCTTTGTTTAGCCCCTTTGGGAGGTGTTCGCGAGCACGAAAATGTGAATTCTTAGAACTTCGACCAATATAACTTGCTCCACTGGAGCAGTCAAACTGATAAATACAAAATGAGTGTCACCGTTAGGCGCTTAGAAAACACTAATCGTAGTTCACTGGTGTTGAAAGATTTTTGTATTATCCCGCGTAATCTCTGAGTTAGTATTTCAGTAGCAGCGTCCCCTCTGAACTGTAGGTGCATGAACAGGGATTTATCCTTAATCGTTTGAATTTCGCCTATTTTCACTTTCATGATCATATATTTAATTATAAACTTTCTAGGGTAGCCTTTCTCCCTAAGAGCATTGTACAAAGTGTTGAGTTTATCTTCAACTATATCCGCAGAACATATAGTGCGTATTCGGTAGATGAGGGTTTTGATCAAGTTTCCTTTTTGCTGTAGAGGTAGAAAGCTAGGGAAATGCGTATACCGCCCAGTCCAAGCATTTTTTCCGCTTACGTTTCTTTTTAACGATCCATCCACTCTCTCAGTTAAGAGAACTACCCAAAAGGCTATTCGACTATCACTTTCTTCAGATGTAAACTGAATGGCTGGATGCACTTCATTAAACTACCTGAGAAAGTCTTGCTGTGATGTATTATCTTTAAAGATGAAAATTTGTCAGCCATATATCTACAGTAAAATTTGAACTTTTGAATAATTTTTTTCAGTGGACCATTTTCTAGTTTGGCTAGAAAAATATCAACTAGTATAGGGCCTAGAGGTGAACCCATTGCAACTCCATCTGTTTGTCCATATATTTCTCCGTTGAACTTGAAATTCACATTCATGCTACATTTCAGTAATAACTCTTTCACGATATTAACAGGAACTGCTGTTTCAATTTCATTTTCAATCAGTTGTTCCTCTATATGTTCTAGGGTCTCTATGAGTGGGATATTTGTGAATAGTAATGTTACATCCAAAGACATCTTTAGTCCCAAAGTATTATCATTTTTAATTTTGTCAACAAATTGAAATACATCCTTAGCACTATGTTTTACAAGCTTTTTGTGAAAAAGTTTCAATATAGTTACCAACCATTTAGCTATAGTATGATAAGAAGAGTTATACATATCTAAAATTGGTCTTAATGGGATCCCCGGTTTGTGTATCTTTGGCAATCCTTACAATCTTGGCAGATTAGTTCCCACTGGTCTAATCATTTCATACAAACCCGATGAAATAGTCTTTGCCCCCGAGCTTCTTCAAAGATCTATAAGCTCATTATCTATCTTAATATTGAGATCTTTCTGGTTAGTTATTTTTTGAAATTTTAATTTGTTATTTAAGATGGTACCTATTTTGTCAATATAATCTCTTTTAATAAGAAGAACAACTCCTGAACCTTTGTCAGGTTTCGTAGTCAATAAAATCTCATCCTTTAGGAGTAGGTCAATAGATCCCTTGTGCTTTTTTGTAAGAATGCTTTTGTAATTAAATTTATTGTTCTTATACTGGTAGCAACAGTCTACAAGAGTAGATTTAAAATGTTCTAGTTGTTGATCAGAATTTGCAACTACATCTCGTGTCCGACTTTATAGATTCCCAAACTGTATATTTGTATCAATGAGGTTACAGTTATTACGAGTATCACAAAATTTTAGACCAAAGGATAATACCTCTAGTTTTTCTTTATCTAGTTCAACACCTGAGAAATTATGCACATAACTTTTAAATTCAGTTAGAAATTCGCTTTCTGCTGTTTGATTTTCCAGTCCTTTCAGTAGCTGATTGAGTTTCTTCTCTGATCTCTGATCCATAACTTTCGTAACATACCCCATGAAAGGTATTTTTAAATCATTGGTTAAGTCATCTACTGCATACTTTCTGCGAAAAACATTCATCTGTATCTCGCTTATGTCTGAATGCAAGGTGTCAATCTGATTTAGAGCGTGGCGTTTGAGCGTCTTTCTATTGGGATAGACACCTTTTCGTCGCAGTGATGTATAGTACAATTTAGGATAGTGACCTGACTCGATGCACCTGTCGATAAATTCAATAGTAGTTTTCGTTTCAGTGAACTTTACTTTATACTTCAGGAACTCATTGAGCACCTTCAAGACAATTGGCTATTCACAACATTTTGATCGTTTAAAGATCCTCATCAACCTGACCAGTTCTGTAAGTTGACATGGATTCTGGGACACAATTTCCTTACTTATTTATATGCCGTCTCACGGTCAAATGGTTAGTGAGAAATTCTAGATGAGATACGTTACTGAGTGAAAGTAATTATGCACCTATATATCCGTGTCTGGATCAGAGTGAAAATCGTATATATGTCTGCGCTTTATGTAAATTACTAAGTCTACCTTTGAAATCCTTCAAAGAAGTGACTGAAGTTTGTAGAAGTGACAATATCTGATTGGATTCTGATTAGTGACTGAGATTTATTTTCATCTTTCAGTTGATATTGTTACTAAATAATATAGACTGTATGCATTGAGAACTTTCCGCTTGTATTATACATAAGACTCAATTCTTATATTCAGTAAACCACACGCTAATGGAATATTATTCGATACAAGAGAAAGGATAAAAATAAAAGATGAAACTTAAAATAATATATCAATATACCTACATATGTAAGTGAATTAACATAGATTAGGAAAGTAGCATTGTCGTTGATACTCATCACATTCAACTTATCAAGTGAAAAATAATCAATCAAACATGAAAGTGAAGATCATAGAGTAATCAACAACTATTCACTCCTGTTTGTCCTATCAATTCTTGCATACAAATTTTACTGCAACTATATCAGTAGACTTAATATTTATTTACATGAAAATTCTTATTCCGGATTTCTGGGTCCATGATTCAAGTACAAGTTTAAACTGCTTGTGGAAATTTTCCCAGTTTGAAGACAGCTATAGTTACTGTTATATGCCGAAGGGATTTATGGTTGGTAAACTTTGAGGACTATTTATGGACCAATGTGATATGTAAATTTCCTATTGTATAATTGTTAAGAAACTAAGATATCCATATCCGTGTCCCTTTTATTATAAGCTTTATTTTGACTTGTAGACTATTATTGTACGATTTACTATTCTTGAGTTATCCCTAGTTCATTAATTACTGTTCCCCCTATTCACAGCCACATTTGGCTAAATATTGTACAAATGTTATCTTCTATTTTATGGTACGATGTGGTCTGTTTGGTTGGTAGATAAACCCAGTATGTTTGTGAATAATGATTCATATTGCAGGGGCTGTTATTGGTGTTCTGGACTTAACTGTCTGAGCTAGGCAGACGCAGGATCGATACAGCACTCTAGACTGCTAGTACAGTTTTCGTGTGTCACTGTTCCAATTGATACTTCGCTCCTGTCTGATTGGTGGGGGTCAGCATGTTAATATATCATACAGGGCACACACGCACTCACACGTTATAACAGTTATTAATTAAAAGAATTTGTATTTTTCGCACGAATAATGTAATACCGATTATAAACTTGTTTAAGTAAAGCTATTATTTAAAATGCAACACTATGTTTACTGAATATGTTGTAAGTAGTATAAAAGCAATTGATGTAGGAATATTTAGCGAAGAGGAAATTTCGTTAATTTATTTCAGTTTGCTCATTAAATCGCGAATAGTTCAGCAAACAGGTATTCTTCTCCAAGTTTATTCTCAAAGTAGTCCATTCATTTCAAAGGCATATACCTCAGATGATACAATAATCCCATCAGTTATAAAAACGGACTGTGGTGTGTGCTACTTATATGTAACACCAATCGAAAGAGGAATGCCTGGCAGCAGAAGGTTGAGAAAATCGAATGGAAGAGAACGGGAACAGAAAATGATTGGTATGAAAATAAAGGAACAATAAAGTCTGAGACTATCAAATGGCATTTTGCAACTGATGTATCCAGGTAAATTTTGTTGTCCCTTCACTTGTGTTCTCCTTCACTACAGGTCTACCTCCATACGAAAATAATCCTTCTCAATCTAATGGATTTAATCTGATTGGTATGATGGTAAAATTAAAAGTGTGCTAAGCGATAGTTTGTTTATAAGTAAAAGTCGATTACTGAACACTGGTATGGATTTTATCTTTAATTATATACACTATTAAACTTACACATATTAAATATAGGTAGTTAATGATGAGAGATAATTATATTAATGTTGAGATGACAGAACGTTGAAATAATGGTTGACAGTTTACAGTTTTAAGAAACTGCTAACAGTGATAGTGTTTTAGTGATCTATCTTACGACGAGAACGTGATTGGTATAATGGAAACAATTATTATTATAACCAATTGTACCAGTGATTGTTTTACGGTACTTCGTTCCGTTGTCCATCTTGTTGGTTCGAACTCTCTTACGCTCTGCCATTTTGCCTGTACTCTTTGGCACGTCTCGGTATTCTTTCGATACCACGAGATTGCCAATAAATATACCTTATCTGGACCAATAACAGCCTTCTGGTTTTCGGCCTATCGAGGGATCCAAGTTGTTATCTGGCGTGTAATCTTATTGTAGTGGTGATCATAGTCAATCGAGACTCTACAGTGTATCACAATTTCGTTTTGTACAATGGATAACTTACTTTAAACGTGAGCAATTTTTTGACGTAAATGAACTTCTCTCAATTCCCAACGAAGTATTACTCAAAAAATCAATAGCCAAGTTATTATTATGATTATTATACAGAATATATTTTAAATTTCTTAAAGGAATTCGCCTGTCATAACCTTGTTTATTCAATCAAACAAAGAACTTCATATTCTTTTACTTGATGTTCAACATTTCCCCAAGGCATAAGTGCACATTTATATTCAGAGTTTACTTTTCCCACACACATCTCATTGTTTATGGAAGCACGAGCTACATACAATGGTAAACCATCAGTTGTTGCACCAGCCAATAAAGCACCAGCTGGTACTCTACCATCAGATTCTGGAATCCAATTGTATCTGAAAAACATTTAACCAAATAAATAATAAAAGAGATCGTTTTTTGAGTTGTAGATAAAAGAAAATATTAAAATATGTATACAGTTTAAAAACAAGCATTACTGAAGGAATTATAAAATGATTATTAGTAAGGGTTTCAGTTTTCCCATTAATTATGCTTAGGACTGAACGTTAATCAACCTATTTTACAAAATGTTCATTCTGTAAGGATCCCCTCGATAATAACAGTTTTGTTTCAAGCATCTAAACTAGGTGGAATGTGGGTAGTAGTCAAATCAAGGACAGTCATCTCATCATATTTGGGACTAGTCAACTAGATTTGCCTGCTTGACTCCCAGTGTTGTTGTTCGTATTGGAATGATCAGTATGGATATGTCGATGCGATCGAAATAGGATGTATATATGTCATCAAGAACCAACCAAAATTCAGTCCCGAATATCAACAATGAGATAACTTAAACCCTCACTAATAACGACATAAATATCATACTTATGAAGAAAGTTAATGATCATGCGGATTCATCAGCCTAAAGATTAACATGTTAACATCTGGGGTGATAGGTACTGGGTTCAAGTCCCACTGTTGACATAAACACTAAGATACAGGTAGATCTAGCGGACGAATCCCAGAATAAGAAAACGCTCATTCTGGATTGCACTTATAGCCACAATTCATTTATTCACGTAAAATTCGCGTCCCCTTTAGCTTAGCAAATGGGGTGATTTTCTGAAGTATCAACCATCATTATAAAACTGACGATCATAAAAATCTATGTCAAGTGATAACAGTTAAGTTTTGAAATTAAAGGACATGTCATATGTTGAGTAGATTTTTGATCAGAAAGCCAATTACTTAGATAATCAAGTTAAATAAAATATGGCAATATAACCCTGTAACTATTGTCTAGATACTAAATCTTTCATTATTAACTCAATACCTCATCGAATTTTATTATAACGATACAATAGTATTAGTTTTGATCATAAATTAGATAATAAATAGAAAGAGAATTAGATCTCACATCATATCCGACAGATTTAAATCACTTTCCACTTATGTCGGATAGTTTAGCAATGATCTTCAGACTTGTCACATAGATGCACAGTTTAAAATAATGGTAGTACAATCAAACCTTCCCTTCCCTATACCCATTCATATTTTATGAGGAAATTAGGGAAAGACGTTGGAAGTGGATAGGACATACATTAAGGAAATCACCAATGTTCATCACGAAGTAATCCTTAACTTGGAATCCGAAAGGGAATGGTGAAGAGAAGTGGAAAAGAAGAAGGCCAAAGAACACATTACACCGGGAAATAGAATCAGATATGAAAAGGATGAATAACAACTGGAAAGAACTGAAAAGGAAGGCTCAGGACAGAGTTGGATGGAGAATGCTAGTGAGTGGCCTATGCTCCTCCACGAGGGGTAACAGGCGTAAGAAAGTAAGTAATTTTATGAGTTTTGATAAGATGGTAATTTAAATTCATGATCTTATGTGATGATTTATAAACTATCAGAATTCGATTCGTAACTAAATTCAATGATTAGAAAGCTTATTTATATAAATAATTGAGTTGCAATTTTTATTGTTACTCACAATGATTGATTTGGAAATATGTTTGTATTGCATAAAATTTCAAATTTACCAAGTCCATGTTCTTTTCCATCACAAGGTATAAAAGCTGCACCTATTCTAAGAGGCAATTTTCCTGGTATTACATGTCCATTTACTTCACCTCGAGCTACATAAATACGAGAATCTGCTTCAACTCCATTTGATGGTTGATTTTTTCCTACAGTAGCAGGTATCCAAGATAGATGACATTGTCGAACATAATATGGAGTACTCATCTTAAAGTTGAAAAAATGATCCATTGTACAAATATATATTATATTACTATTAATATTATGCGAATGAATAATGAAGAAAAATCATTTCAGTATTAATACCGACCATGTTTATTCTATATTTATACATCAATGGGATCACCTACGAGGATTGAAGAAGTTAGGTCACATGACAGTCTATTCATAAAAAGACAAGCGAAAGAAAACCAGAAAATATTGGAAACAACATTCAAGTGAACTCAAAAAACGGGTCGGTGATTGATCTTTCATCATGGAAGTGGTATATTCATGAGTGTTTAAGAACGGAAAACTGCGTTAGTGCTTTAAGCTATTCCAGTTCACATAGATAATCACGAAACGAGTGCCATATCCATTTAAGAGGCATTTGCTTTCAGTAAGGTTTTACTTGATTCTTTGAAGTATTACAATATATCGAACAGAAATTGAGTAAAGATAAGTACAACTATAGATTAGTTCTAGAGTGATAAAGCATTTAGATCGTCACACCTGTTTAGACCATTAAGTGATTAACTAAGTAATGACTTTCATTTCTATTTATATGTGTATGAATACCGATAAATAAGCATCCTTTCTGATTAGTGGATGAACTTTTTTTCTAACCCTCATCTTTTTTCATTCGAGTTGCCGGTTAAGCATATGTATAAGAAGACTGTTTATTAGTATCAACTATCGGCACTGCCCTTCACAACGGTGAATATTTATGAAGACAAGTGACGAACGGATACGAAACCTCATGGATTTATGAAGTAAGACTGTCAAGAATCTCATCCTACACTCCATTTTGATTGCAAAATGCACATCACAATGAATCACACCAATTGTCAATGTATAGGTAGTGGATACAGATATCAGATGTGAAAACGACTAAAGGAGGAGATAATAACTGATGTAAATATACGAAATAGGTGTTAACGAATAAAATTACTGTTAAGTGATTAAAACGTAGATATCCGGTTTACGATTCTTTAAAATATTATGTTGCCTAGTTCTATTTTAAGTACAATTAGATTTTGTTAACAAGAAATGTCAGAAAATGCATGTTTGGTTTAAAACGACACGTTAGAAATCACCACAACTGATATCAGAAAGAAGGAAACGTTAATCCGCAAAAGTGTATAAGGTTTGTTATTGTTCCTACTTATTACGAAGTTTGATGATGTTTGAGTTTGTTCTGTGACTAGGAAATACGGGATTGAAAGACGGTCGAACTGTCTATTCTACACTACCTAACTATATAGACAAACCGATTAGATTTATGGTTTATCAAACATAACGACTATGAGTTTTATCCCGACAGCAAATAAAGTGAAAATGAATAGACAGGACAAATTGTACATGCGTAAACACCTCTACCTCATATGAGGTTATAGCAATTAAATTGAGTTATACATATCTCGTAAATTCATCGGTGTAACTGGACGAACGAACTAGAGTAATGAGCACGAAGATGCAGTTACGTGGTCACTGCAACAAAACATTGAGGAATCAGAATCAACTGGCATTATTCTTACCCGGTCAAGACACGCATTGCCAAGTCTCACTCTGTGCAGAATAAATTCCATACACAGACAAAAACACGGTGTAGTTGTGTGCTAAATCAAATGAGTAATCTATTACAACTACAGATATCCGTTATTGATGAACACAAATCGAACCGATATCTCACTTTGAGACCTGAACCCTTGTCTTATAAAATTACTCATTGTGTATTGAGACACGTCGCTTCCATATTGACTCACAAATTACCATGACAATAAACATAGAGAGGAAAAAGTACACAACGTACATGAACAGAAGTAGTCTAGTGAAGGAGAGAACGACCAAATATATCCATACACTTCCGATGATTTGTTGGTAGAAAACTACTTGAACTATTTTATTCTTCAGTTATACACAATTACATTGGACATATTGGAAGACCAATCAATGAACTTATATGTATCATCCATCTCAGACAGATTCTGTCATTACAAACATGTTCAAGCTGTGACCTAGTAAAGGTGAACCAATCATAGTGTGATGATGAGAATTCAAGAAAATCTACTTTTCTGTTATTGTGTGTTTTCGTCATCTGTGAAGTTTCTCTACCAGTGATTTTCGTGATCAATATTTTTCACAGTTGAAAGCGTGGGTCAATTGAAGCCAGACTACCATACTCTGGTGTGAGACTGGTAGGTCTTGGGTTCGAATCTCGGGAGTGCGGGATCGTGGATGCGCACTGCTGAGGAGTCCCGTAATAGGACGAGTTAGCCGTCCAGTGCTTCCAGGTTTTCGATGGTGGTCTACCTTCAATTGACTCACGCTTTCAACTATGAAAATACTAACTCTCCACAAAACCCGTTCTGATAATCAATACTTTTACTAAACATTGGTTATTGGTCTCGTGTAGCATATATGAGAGTGTTGTTTACCGATTGAAGGTGACAGTGTAAGAGCAGATTGAATTTAGTGGAATTTGTCATCTTCGTAATCAGAGATATTGTGCAGGAAACAAGTATGATATCTGTGTGTACATCGAGATGAGTAATTTCATTTTGAAACGAATTACTGTTAAATAAGTGAATTAATGCAAGTGTTCGTATGTTGAATTAAGTTTGATAAAATTGAGTGAATTGGTTAATAGTTAGTTTAAAAACAGATGATGCAAACTAATTTTCGTCTGTGCCATTGAATATTGTGTAGAAGATATGAGTGTGATTGTAAGTGTAATTATCGAAGTTTCACTGGATAATTTAAAGTAGATTGTGAACTTGTAGATTGTTGATCGTAAAATAATGATAGATTTGTGTTTCATTTTACAAATCCAGAGTTCTGATTTATGTAGCACAATTATATTGATCAATGATATGAATATTTCACTTGAAGTATGTGACCTTGACTGATTGATTGTTTTCACTTTGTAGTTTGTTTTAGCAATAGACTAATGATAAAACAAATCAATTGGATTCATCAATAATGTTGTAGATCAGAAATATTCATCGATATTTTGAGCAGAGATAGTAAAGTGTCAAGGTATTTCTATATCATTAAATTATTTGTGTATGTTGATTGAAGTTATCTATCGTGTTCAATTGTCAACCAATCACGCTTTCATCTCTCATTCCACGTTGACTGAACATTGAATGTGTGTTCTTCAAGTACCCATCATCAATTGTTACAACAACTATTCAATACAGACCTGATCACAATCATTACAACTACTGATGAACATAGTGATATTCCATATTCTAATGGAATGAAACTGTGTGAGCGTTTTGATCTTGTACTTATCAGAAATATAACTTGTGATCAACAATCAAATGAATTTCGTGAGACTAATTGGAACCTCACGTGAGGCAAATTTAATTAGTTAGGGAATATGGAAGTTTGTAATGCATCTGTTTATTGTTTCGATATCAGGTTTAGAAGCTTCATTATAGATCGACACAGAAATATATCAGTTTTCCTTGTGAGCAACAAAATACAGTGGAAGCCAACATGATTGCTGTGCTCCAATTCTTATCGAACAGATGAGAAATGGCTTCCACAAGTAACTGCACGCACCAAATATCTATGGTGAAGCAACACTAGTGTGAGTGAGCTGAGTAGACACAATGTGGATTAAGACTAACCACTCTTGTAAATTCTTTGTACCCACAATATTGACGATCTATCGACAATGAAACATGAGTTATTAGTACCATGTTTCACAAACCAGATCATCTTACACAGTCAGTTTGATTTCTGTATCGAATTGAATTGATGAAATGTTGAGTGTGTGTATTGGTGACTGAGTGAACATTTGTAGTTGTTGTGAACTTTGACAACATGATGTGATATGTTGTTGGTGTAAGGAATGGACAATTTAAATGGTTAATTTAATTGATGTGTAGCTAAATGACAATCAGTCACTTCCACTCAGTGAATCGTAAATCAGAATTTCTCTCTCTTCTACGTTTATGCAATCGATTTATTTGTCATGTTATATCGTAATTTTCATTCTGAAATAATTTTATGCTGTGAAGTTCGCGTTGCATTGTATGCTCTAATGATATTATAAGTTGTTATAAACTTCATTATAGTCATGCTTGTTATGAAGTAGACTGTTACGGAATAATTGAGTAAGGTTTAAGGTGAGTTGTTTTTGGTCTTGAAACGACATCATTTTTCTTTTTTTGTTAAGTGTTATTAGCCCACTGTTGTGATGATACAGAAAATTTCTCGTAAAAGACAACAAAGGCTCAGAAAGCACTATGAAGCACTTTATCCAATCAGCGTTCAGTAGAAGTTTTGCCAAAGACATCACGAAAGTGTAAAGTCACATGTAAAGTTTCTGATTGGCTGATTACCACACTGTTACTGTGTTTAGTAGCATTCAACAATTTTTCGGGAAAACCCAAGGACTTCTAAAATACTATAAAAACCCTATATTTTCTGTACGTGAATAAACCTTTGAAGTAATGAACTTCTCACATATTTTGAGCCTTTTCTTTCGTGTTCAAGTTTCGGGGTAAATTTAGCTTGGGGCTTACGAGAATGGCTTAGGAACCGAGTATAACGTTCAGTTAGCAAGACTTATCACCCATAGTTTGTTTGTTTGTTTGTTTTTGGTTTATAGATTTAGTTATCTGTAGTCAGCTATTTCATGTAACATATCTGTTCAAATGAAACAATGATTACCACTCCTCTTTCTTTTAGTATACTTGTTTGTTGCATAATTCATCTTAGACAATATATTACTTGTAGGCAATGATAAAATGTGTAAGTTTACCAACTACAGTTGCTTAACTTTTCGTTTTCGTTAATGTCCTTATGCGTTAATGTTAGTAGTATGGGGCTCTGTATACACTATAATGCAAAAAGATCCTGGAAGCTGAAGTTGATAGCTTAAAAACTGTACAGTATAAGAGGAGTCGTGGGATGTGATAATGATGTATCATACTTATTATGTCATGCCCTCGACATGTCACTAATTCATTCCAGTGAGAAATCGAACGTAAAACGGTAGTGATGTAGACGGATATTAAAATCTTAGCCTTTTTTGTAAACAACAAAGGATCTATAGAGACTCATATATCAGCCTGCTTTAAATGAGAATATTGATCCGAATCAGTCCGCCTACAAATACAAAAGAGGTACCTTGCATCATAATACAGTTTTAGTTTGGGAAGAGTTGATAAGTAAGTTCGGTGTGCATTTGTAGACTATGTTGTTAACATTCCTCTGTCATACACATATACTATTTCCCGCTTTACATTTTGTTCTGTATATTTATTTCTATTCATTTTTATGAAAAAATGTCACTTCCTCTTAATCATACTTTGATAGTAAAATTGTTGCCCACTTGGTTAAAAATCTATTCTTTCTCAGTCTTTATGATATGTCGCAATCTCAGGAAAATCTAGTCTTTTAATTACAGCGTTTCCACCCATATATCCGTTGTTGTTTTGGAATCAATGTAGAGCTTCTGGATTATATACTTCAGAAAGAGTAGTCGAGTATTAAAAAACATCACTAAATATACACAGGTGAATGAATGTACTAGTAATAATATGTTCTAGTCAAGATCCTTGTAATAATTTCAGAGACATTTCAGAGATATATATTATTAAGCTCAATATGGAGTAGGTGGCACAACGTGATTTAGTCAAACCAATATTAGACAACATAAACTATCGACTAATAATAAAAATGAGGTCATTTTCGTCTACTTGTAAGAGTGCAATTTAGAAACTAGGGATAGAATACGTGTCCGTGGATTTGTAACGTATTGTCATCTCAAAGTTCAGTTTTTATGCAATACCAATCATTTTTTTCGTTTACTTATTAAATGAATGTTGCTTACATGAACATAATTTACACTGAATATTTTTATTTTATCCCCTAAATTTGCCTCGTTTGCAATGAAATAAGGGGAAATTTATACCTGTAGCACAAGGCGGTTGATATCGGGACTCAGTAGTTCAGTGAATAACGCATTAATATTTGAAACAAAAAGTACCGAGTCAGAGTCTTTACATGAACATGAACATAGATGCAACTATACACAAGTGACGAGTAGTATCTTGAGTAAGATATCCGTCCTGGATTTCTGTGCCAGGCACGATCCAACTTTAGTGAAATACTAATCTGCATTTTATTTAACATTGTATGCGTATAATTATCGGAGTTCATAAGATACAGTTCATACCAAGGTATGAAATCTAAGACTAGTTGAATGATTAGAATGATTCAAAAATTATACATTCTTACAAAATTTCTCCTAACAAATCTATTCCTATGTGCACAATCTCCCCTAAAAATTTATTCATTCTACAAATTACTTCTGACTGATATTTTCCGTGAGGATTCTACCCAATAAGTCGATTTTTCACTACACATATATATGCTTATGGTTAGCTCACGTTGCAAACTTGATTTAATACTTCCTTTTTTCCTTTTACAAAATAATCATGGGATGTACTCTCTTAAGGTGTGAGAAATGTTTATTTATCCGTCCAGCATCTAAGAGCACATTGGAAGGTTCCATAGAAAACTAAACTTTGCTTAATAAATACACAATAAACATGAAGCAGTGATATCCACTTCAATATGTATTACTTCGAGCTTATTAAACTAGAAACACTCCTGCATTTTACCACCAAGTACGGTTTATTGACGTTTGAGATGTAAAAATCAAATATTGTTGACTTGAGTTTGATTCAATCATCTGAATGCAATCACACAAATTCAACCGTTTATTCGGGAACCAAATATCAGTAACGAGGGTGACATTGACACATGTATAGAAAAAAGTTCACAATGCACTAGTTCTTCTATGTGTTCGACCTGGTTACAAAATTAAAGCAAAGCTTAAGAATTAGCATAGTATATAATTGTGCGACTATGATCTATGGACGAACTAATCAATCAAGACAGTAAGTCTTGGGTTTTCACGCGAAATTCACTCATTCTCATGGCTAAGCAGCATTTTGACATTATAGCTTGTCAGTTCGTAATGAACACTCTAATTCTAATTCCAAACCTTAACTTTTATTTCTAAATCCTATTTATGATTCTCAACACTAATTTGTAACCCTCTTCAAGCCTTAAGTAGGTAGGTGAGTTTTCTCACGGCCACTTTGTCGATGCTCAAAGGTCGTTCATATATAGTAATAATCATTTCACTAAACATTATTCATTTCATATGAAGCAAAAGTAATACAGAATCTTGCTAGATATGTTAGAAAATGACATATTTTAAGCCTTCATACAAATATTCATATTTCAATCCATTTAGAATATAAAACTAATTCATGTGAAGGCTAATGACATATTCAAAGAAATCCATTTGCGATCAAAAGTTGGAATTAAGTTCAAAACGGAAAATGCGTGTGCTTACAGATTTCTTCATCTCGTATCTTCAACAATTTCTCATAGTACGAGAAACTCACTAACGAATGTAAAATGGAAGCATTATGTAATTCAAATGGTGTTGTTTGCTTGTATCTTCCCGTTGTTGTTTAGGATGGCAATTAATCATTATCTTATTAGCATATATGCCTCCTGTGCGGATTGCCTCAACATTGCTTTAAGTCCCAAACTTCACAAACAAAGATGAATAGTGTCTAGCAGTGGAATCCAGGACGTGCACACGAGCAAGTTATTATCATGACTCAGTAGGTAAATAGATAATGCGATAGTGTTTGGAGTGAACAGTACAAGGTTCGAGTCCTGGAGTGAGCATCAACTATGGGCTGCAGGTACATCCAGCCGACGAGTCTCAAATAGGACGAAACGCAAGCCACTATCCATCCTTGCTTATAGAAAATCCTGTAATGTTTACGATATAAAGAATATCTCGGATTTAGAACTTGTCAATGTAATGCCTTATGAATAGCTTTCGTAGTTTCCTTGAGTAAATATTTTCATGGGATCCAGGAAGTTGAAAATCAGAGGCGAACATATTAACGTTGAAGTGTTAGGTTGACACAATGATCGATATTTTAAATCACTAATAAAACTTATGATACAATAATAGTGTATATAAATCTCATGTGCACTAAAGGCGAATATATTTTATTGATTGGGAATATAAATCTTGTCCAGAATATTCTTCACTATAATAATGGTAGTAGTGTTATGTTCGTTTACGTCCCCCATCTTTATTCTCCACCTAGCAACTCAATTTTGTGTTTTTTATACTACTTAATAATATTCCGTAAAGTTATAACCCCAATAACTTCTACGCCTATTTCGTAGAGCAGATCTATTTGTCGTGTGATATTAAAAATATTTACATTTACTTGTAACATTTATTGAGTTTATTACTATTATTATTACTTTCTCTCAACCCCTATAATAGTTATTTTCAGTTATGTATAGTCGTTGAACCTTTGTTTGAACGCAACAGTTTCAATATCAACTCACTGAAGACATTAGTGAAATTGTTGCTCAACTTCGTGGATTGATTGAAGTTAGACATTAACATCATCAGATGTCAGCCCAATGGTCTACTGGTTATGTACTCGCGCGCGAGACTGGTAGGTACTGTGTTGGAATCGCTGATGCGCACCCCTGAAAAGTCCCACAATAGAACGATACGGCCGTCCAGTGCTTCCAGGTTTCCATGGTGGTCTAGCTTCATTTGACTCATGATTTCAACTATATATAAGGTTTCAATATTTGTTTGATTTTGATAAACGATTGTTAAAATTAAACACTGCCATCGGCTTTCGTTTATACTATCGTATGTCACAATTATTTTTTTATGTTATCATTGCAGGAGATCTTTCTCTTTCCAGATATACAGACATGTTAAACGCCATTCATACCTCAGGATTTGAGGTTTCTAAGAAATTTATGTTTATTTCTCAATAAGGAACTGTTATTTAAACAAACCGCTGTTTCATAAACTTCGGTTTCACACGTATCTCAATTGAATTATTAAACTTTTAATAGAATTAAGAAGTTGCGTTGCTTTCATTGTCATTAATATACAATAAATGTGTTCGTTTAGGTACAGTTCACATTACATTGATTGAAATGTGGTAATAGAATATCTTAATCCTTCTGTTCTATAAAACATAGAACTTCATAATGTTTCACTTTGTTTTCTTTACCCTTGTAATCAAGAAGTGCAAATTTTTGTGAACAGTTAACTTTACCAATACACAATTCATCTTGTACTATAGCACGAGCAACATAAAGAGGTTCACTTGTGCTAGTTATACCAGCAAGTAATGCACCAGCTGGAACTCTACCGAAAGATTCTGGAACCCACTGGTACCTTATACAATTAAGAAAATAAGAAAAATATGAGAGGATTAGTTGAGAGAAAACGTTTTATTGATATATAGTTTAGATCAAATTGTAAAGTATATAAACAACGTTTTTGATAAGTTACACTTGCTGAAGAGACTATCTGTTGTATTATATGCAAAAAAAACAATAATTTAAAATTCTACAATAATATTAACTAAAGTCTATATCAGAAGGGAGTTTTGTGGAGATTTTAGTAATTTTATGTAGTTGAGATTGGTTGAAGTTAGACATTAACATCGTTGGATGCCGGCTCAATGGTCTATCGGCTAAGTGCTAGCGCGCGAAACTGATAGGACCTGGGTTTGAATCTGGCGAGGCGGGATCGTGGACGCACACAGCTAAGAAGTCCCACAGTAGGACAAAATGACCGTCCAGTTCTTCCAGGCTTTTCATGGTGGTATAGTTTCAAATGACTCATGATCTCAACTATGTAAAGTCTATATTCATAAATTAAATAGTTTATGTAGTTATAGACAGTTTTACTCACTAATTAGATATCATCGTCAAATTTTTCGAGTTGTCCGGATCCGGAAGTATGAACTATTGGATTTTAGGCTAATGGCTTAGATTCAACGTATTTGTCACAATAACTACAGCTTGTGTTTGTTCATTTTCGTATGAGATTGTAAATGTGCACTAGTAAGGTGATCTAAACTACAAAGAAACAAGTATATAGTGTACCTTGATAGTTATTAGTTCACCAGTTAATGATTCTATATAATAAAAAGTTTAAATCACTTGCCCGAAACAAAAATGTTTTGAATTTTTTTTTTAGGAAGGAGCAAAAATATTCGTAAAAACCTAAATGCGAGTATAATTTGACTAGGTGTTAACTCTAAAGGGGTTTAGTGAAATTATGCACTGTAGTAACAACAGTAATTGCTTATTTATGAGTAGACGATAAGTTGTAACGCCTGGTTCGGTTATAACATATCTGTTCGGTGATTTTTATGACGTAAATTATTGAAAGTCATATAGAGTTCTGAATAGGTACTGTATTTGAGATGGTGGAGAAGATTTGTAGCTCAGGTGGATGATTTAGATAGAGTTTTGTTCTCTGAGCTGGATGGTTTGGTCGTTCAGAAGGAAGATGGAAGCTCTACGACCAAAGCATCTTACTCGGAGAAGAAAACCCCAACAGGTACTGTATTCTATTATAACCTGGAGAAGATTAAATTGTGGGTACCTTCTGAGAACTATTTATGGACTGATATTATACACATTCTTATTGTGTAACTGTTAAGAAACTAAACAATATATATATATATATATATATATATTCAGAAGGGGATTTGTGGAGATTTCAGTATTTTTCAAAGTTGAAATCATGAGTCAATTGAAGCTAGACCACCATCGAAAACCTGGAAGCACTGGACGGCTCGATTCTGGTAGGTCCTGGGTTCGAATCTCGCGAGAGCGGGTTCGTGGATGCGCACTGCTGAGGAGTCCCATAATAGAACGAAACGGCCGTCCATTGCTTCCAGGTTTTCGATGGTGGTCTAGCTTCAATTGACTCATGATTTCAACTTTGAAATATATATATATATTTCAAGTATATTCCTCTTATTAAAAGCTTTTATTTGACCTATTGGTTACTATCATATGATCTACTATTCCCAAGTTGTTTTCCATCTAATAGTCACAGTCTCACAATCACAGACACTTTTTGGCTTGACCTTGTACAAATGTTATTGTCTATCTTACTATTGATTTGGTCTGATTTAGCATGTATGTAAAACAAGTTTGTTTGAAATATATGATTGTATATAATAGAGGCTGATATTTGTGTTATGGACTGAATCGTCTGGGTTAGACGAGAAGTTGGCATCTCAAGGACCAATAAGAATTTTAGGCTGCTATTACTGGTTTATGCATTATTGGTCCGATCAATAAGTTGGTGACTAATTGGAGATCATATCGCTTGATATGTTAACAGGGCACAAGGATCACAAGTTATAGCATATTTACTTGAGGCTCATCATCGATTTCTAAACACTACATCAAGTTGATCGAAGTTAAGAACATCAGATTCGGCTCCGAACACTATATACGGCATCCACCTACTGATTTGAGATTCAGTATTCTATACATTATAAGTGAAGTTCTCCATCAGTTGGTCACTATGAAATTTTGGAAATTATCAATAAAATATTTGATTCTGTCTATTGGTCATTGGAGAATTTCACTTATTATCAATCAATCTTTTAAATGTAAGACGCAACTTCGCAACAAATGAATTCACTCAGTCATATTTCTCCATCCATACAATCCATGTATTTACATACATTTCCGGTTGAAATTCGAATGACCATATAGAATACCCTTTTTGAATCATCCATGAATATATATATATATATATATATATATATGACAATATTGAGGATACCATCATTCCTATTGGTTACACATATGTACAGTCACTCACTTCAATTACATGGTTATCATAAATTTTCCATAAAACTACACATAACTAGTACAAGTATATATGACAGAGAAAGTACGGCAATGTAGTCCACATAGATTTATAATAGATTTGTAAAAAACGCCCTTTTCACCAATCATACCTGAAATCATAGCCAATAAACTCTGATTTAAATCTATGACAAATCTAAACCTTATATAAGAATTCTCGTCTAAATTAGAACGAATAGTTTCACAGTATTTGAGCGCCGAGTTGAAGTAAGACATTAAATAGGAATAATATATTTGTAAAATCTCAGCGAATGAATTTTTTAAATTAAATCCAACGTTTCGCCTGGCAATCTGGTCCAAGCTTTTTCAAGGAATTATAATCAAACATCAAAATTATCGAATATAAATAGGTACATGGTTCTCCGAGTTCATTATACACTGAATAGGTCATCCAATCAACGTTAACAATAGTCTAAACTAGGTATGTTTAAGAGATATGTAAAGAGATATATAAACATAAAGAAAACTTTTATGATCAAATTACAAAAAAACGTCAAATAAGGAAATTCGAACAAATGTTTAAACATCCATCAAATTCTAATAACGACACGATTAATAACAATTCCAAAGAACTAGATATAAACAAAATTGTTGTGAATCTATCTGAAAAACATTTAAATCAACATGAACTATCGTTGCTTAAAAAGGCCTCAATTTCAATTTGAGCAAAACACAACTTATGGCTTCAGAAATTATTCCGGTTATTGAACCGGCCTTAAACAATGTTCCGAATGATCAAGCGAATTCAGTGAGATTTAAAATCTCAAATGCGTTATTGAAACAAAAACCAAATGCACCTAATATATGTAAAGAAGAAATGAATGCTCTAAAACAGCTACGTAAAGATAGAAAAATTGTTATTATGAGAGCTGACAAAGGAAACACCACTGTCATTATGAATAATTCTGATTATGAGAAAAAAGTCAATGAACATCTTCAATCTGGACCTTATGAAAAAATCAAGATTAACAAATGTAGAGCAACTTTGAATAAGTTGAAAGCCGAAACAGCCAAAATGCTACAGAATTTAAAACCGAAACTAGGACCATCTCTATGGTTTTCTCTATATCCAAAAAGCAACAAACCATGCAGATTTTATGGATTACCAAAAATACATAAAACAAATGTCCCAATAAGACCTGTTGTGGATTATACCAATTCACCAACCTACAATCTTTCTAGATACCTAGCTAAGATTCTTAAACCATATGAAAGCACAATCAAACACGGAATAAAAAATTCTAATGTTTTTAAAGATATTATCTCTAATATTCACATAGAAGAAGATGAAATAATGGCAAGTTTTGATGTTTGCTCATTATTCACTAATGTTCCAATTAAGAAAACACTAGATATTATATGTAATCTATTAGATTCTGACACTGATCTTAAACAACGCTGTCCTTTAGTTACCTCGGATATTATTAAAGCGTTAGATCTATGTTTACGTTCAACTATATTCAGTTTTCGAGGGGATTTATACAGACAGACAGAAGGTGTAGCTATGGGATCACCAGTTTCACCAATTGTTGCTAACCTCTTTATGCATTCATTGGAAACTAGTGCCATCTCATTATGTTCTCAGGCACCAAAAGTATGGTTAAGATATGTAGATGACACCTTTGTCATTATAAAACGGAACCATTTGGATGAACTGTTTAAACTTATCAACAACTTTGATAGAAAAATCAAGTTCACCAAAGAGTTGGAATCTCCTGAAAACACATTACCTTTCCTAGACTGTTTAGTGGAAAGGAAAGTTAATAATAGCTTAAAAATTAGTATATTTCGAAAGCCGACAAATTCAGAAAAATTTCTAGATTTTAAATCGGCACACCCACACTCAACCAAAGTGACAGTAGTCAAAAATATGATTACAAGAGCTCAAAAACTGGTCACTGAACCAAATGATATGAAAACGGAAATAAATTTAATTACATCTACCTTAATTAAGAACAATTATCCAAAAGATTTTATTAAAAGAATAATTAAGAATGAAAGAAAAGACGACATTGTTAATACAAAAAGATTACAGAAAAAGGAATGGGTTAACACAGTAGTGATCCCATATCGGAAAGGAATTTCGGAAGATATTCGAAGAATCTTAAATAATCAAAATATAAGAGTATTTTTTCGAACAAACAATACTCTAAAATCAAAATTAGTAGGAATTAAAGATCCAATACATAAAGAAGAACAACAAAATTGTGTCTATGAAATCAAATGTAGGGATTGTAATGCAACATATGTAGGTGAAACATCAAGACAACTGAATGTGAGGGTGAAAAAACACAAACAATGTTTGAAACATATTCCTAAATCCTCAGATGATGTAAGGAAATTGGAGAACAAATCAGCTATAGCATTACATTCGTTAGAATCAGGTCATACAATTGATTTCGATGGCACAAGAATCCTTCAAAAAGCTTTTAATTCTTACAAGGAGAGACAAACAGCTGAAGCCCTATACATTTGGGCTAATCCAAACAATATTAATAGGAGGGATGGAATACAATTAGCAGTGCCATGGCAGCTAGTCATTAATAAGTAACAACCTGAACTCCTTAATGTTTTTATCGAATTCGTATTATCTAAAATGACAACAATTACACTCAATGATTCTAGTCTATTGTCTTATCGAAATTTGTTAAACAATTCACTGAAACATTAAAAATGACACATACATACAGTCAAAATTACGCTCTTCAAATTTCACCTTTTATTTTTATTTGTTTAATTATTCTTCATGTTATACATGCTGTGACACAGATATGATTCATATCACATATATATTACAAATTGTATGTTTCCTTATAAATTCACTGATAAGAGACAATATATGAATGTGAATGTAATTTTTATCCTCTCATCTCTTACGTTTTCTATACAATTATGTTATATGAACACTCTTCACTACACATCACATATCTCTTAAACATACCTAGTTTAGACTATTGTTAACGTTGATTGGATGACCTATTCAGTGTATAATGAACTCGGAGAACCATGTAACTATATATATTCGATAATTTTGATGTTTGATTATAATTCCTTGAAAAAGCTTGGACCAGATTGCCAGGCGAAACGTTGGATTTAATTTAAAAAATTCATTCGCTGAGATTTTACAAATATATTATTCCTATTTAAATCTAAACCTTGTTAACTTTATCATCACATCGTTAATATCAAAACAGTCTAGGAAACCAAGTTGCATTAGCTGCGATTCATATCAACTTGTGATTACTATATAAACTCCGAAAGCTGCTGGAATTCCATTAAATCAATCTTTATATTTCATAGAAGTACGAGTACATAAGTTTTCATAATAGACATCAATATAAAGAATAAGTCAAAAGAACACTTTATATTACAGTATGTCCGGCATAGTTAAATCCCTTTCTATTGAGTCTGATTAACTCTACTATGTCATCAGCCTTGTCAGAGTTGTATAAATCAGAATAATGACAATTGAGTAAAACTTCACGTGTCATATATCCACTCATCATTTGCAAGTTTTGACAAGAACGTAATTTAGATTCTTTTATGTTTTGTGGTCGTTTGAGTCTGAAACTGATGTGCAAGCTTCTTATATGCAAGTCCAACCAACTGCTTGATGGATAAAATCAAGAGTCGACAGGAAGCTTTTATTGGCTAAACAGATTCAAACATATATGAGCAATTCACCCATAAAGCTAGATACTAATTTTAACCAGTAGTGTGTCTATGTCTTCATTAAGAGCCTGAACTAACCAACATCTGTCGCTTACTACTTGGTTTTTGTCTACTCGGCTGAGTGTTTGAAATTCATTATTCGCATGTTCTGTTTGACAAATTATCCATATTCAATTAGCAAACACATTATAAGTGTGACTATTTATGGAAAACAATAAATTTAAGCTTTTCATCTTACTTACAAAGTTTGATTCGAAAATACGCTTGTGTTGCACAAAATTTCAAATTCGGAAAGTAAAATTTCTTTTCCTTCGTAAATTATAGAAGCCGTACGAGTTCTGAGAAGCATTTTACCTGGTATTAAATGCTCACCCTTTTTGCCACGAATCACACAAACACCAGAATCTGCTTGAAGTGCATTCGGTGGTGGAGGTAATCCACTAGTAGAAGGTAGCCATGACAGATGAGCTTCTTTGGCATTATGTACAATATCCATTCTAAAACTGAATGAATAATTATGATGCTTAATAATAACATGTTAAATTCACAGAACTGAATATACATTTTGAAATACAGTATTTGGCAGTGCATATGACTATCAAATTCATTTCTATAATTCTGTTGATTAATTTGCTCTAAGTTGTGTGATCGATTTGAATGCTTCATATGTGACTGTATAATATCCATTTATTCTGTTGCTTTTCCATCCGTTTGGCTATCTATCAGTCTCTTAATCATATTTCAGTATTATACTAATGTACAAATATTCAAGGCACATTGACTAATTCACACTTTAGACAGTTTGAATTCATTTCAATACAATGTGAATTAAACTAGTCTAATGCAATCCTGAAATTACTTCACTATAATACAACTGGTGAGTATTCTGTTGACGGTATTATTTCCATTCTCATACAATTTCTGGTCATTCTAGTGTTGTGGTGGACCAAAAATATGATAACCAAATAAAATAGCAACAAAAATATTACGTCTAAAGTTTATGTATCAATTAACAGTTAATAAGTTAATTACACATAGATAAAAATAAGGGACGTTACTTAAGTCTTCAAACTATTGCGTGTTCGGCTGAGTTTGGTCCAAATAATCCACAATTATAAAAGATTAGTAATCCCAATATGGACGATATAGATCCAGTAGGTTTACCAAGCGTAGAATTCAATAAGAATGTCACAATTGTCTATAAATATAGATGATATGCAATGAATATTCCATTTAACATATTGGTAGATATAGCAGAACGATGCAGATGTGAATTAGAGTGTATTTAATGAGGAGCAGTAACAGTGCCACGATATGTTGTACTCAAAACGGAAGGAAGTCAAGTTACAAGGGTTCAAAATAATACACAAGTACAATTGTTTAATGCTAAATGTACAGAATATGAAAATACATGCGTAAACTATGAAAAATTATTTACAAAATAGGTTTTATGGTCCTATCTCCACAGTGTCAATGTCGATGTAAATCCAATTAAATTACAAATAGGTTTGATTCTGAGCTCATCCTAAAGAGAGTGAAAATCCATAGGGGCGAGGATTGAAGGGAGGATAACATTTTCAAGGATTTGATACTTGATTTGTTTACCATCTGTCCCTTCACCTCTACGGCCAATCAAAAATACAGTTGTTTGAACGATCAATGAAGAGTCTACTTTCAATAAGCACTGTAATTCGTCGGATTCAACAACAATTCATTATTTTTATTAGTCCAGTGATGATATCTCATACATCTATTCAGAACAGTGTAGTTGAAAATCTAGTTTGTTTGCTTCAAAATTTGTATGGTTGTACAATAGTGAGGTAAGTAAAGATTAAAAAATCTCTCAGAAGCTCTATGAATATTTGAAAAATGATTCATCACCACTGTTCTGTACTTAATAAAAACACTTATGTATTATCAGAAGGGGTTTTGTGGAGATTTAGTATTTTCATAGTTGAAAGCTTGAGTCAATTGAAGCTAGACCACCATGGAAAACCTGGAAACACTGGATGTTTGATAACTTTCCTAATTATGAATGAAAATATATCACGTCATACATCTGATTAATGTAATTTGAATAGTCTAAGCTGTCATATGAATAGATACGCTTATTTTGGTATTAATCTAAAACTGTTATTACTTCATTCGAGCTACATTCATTCAATAATACTATACTTTGACTGTTGATTACTACTATACATGCCAATTTATGAAACCGCTAAAATCTACACACGGAGAAGATTGTATTCGAGGTCCCATTTAATCCAGTAATCCTATGATATCGGGTTAAAGATGACATGCACAAAAATAAACTATATTACAGATACACTTTAAGTTGTTTTATTTTTTAGATATTATGATGGTTGGAAAATAATCCAATTCTGTTTTGTTTTGTGATCTGTTAATTATCATGTAATAAGATCGCCAATCAGAACACGACGTGGTTGGTTTAAAAGGACATGTTAGAAATCACCGCAACTATTACCAGAAAGAAGGAAATTTAAATCCACAAAAGTGTATGAGGTTTGTTATTGTTCCTACTTATTACGAAGTTTGATGATGTTTGAGTTTGTTCTGTGACTAGGAAATACGGGATTGAAAGACGGTCGAACTGTCTATTCTACACTACCTGACTATATAGACAAACCGATTAGATTTGTGGTTTATCAAACATGACGACCGTGAGTAATCTATTACAACTACAAATATCCGTTATTGATGAACATAAATCGAACCGATATCTCACTTTGAGACCTGAACCCTTGTCTTATAAAATTACTCATTGTGTATTGAGACACGTCACTTCCATATTGACTCACAAATTACCATGACAATAAACATAGAGAGGAAAAAGTACACAACGTACATGAACAGAAGTAGTCTAGTGAAGGAGAGAACGACCAAATATATCCATACACTTCCGATGATTTGTTGGTAGAAAACTACTTGAACTATTTTATTCTTCAGTTATACACAATTACATTGGACATATTGGAAGACCAATCAATGAACTTATATGTATCATCCATCTCAGACAGATTCTGTCATTACAAACATGTTCAAGCTGTGACCTAGTAAAGGTGAACCAATCATAGTGTGATGATGAGAATTCAAGAAAATCTACTTTTCTGTTATTGTTGGTGTTGTCAAATTGTGGTTATTGTGTGTTTTCGTTATGTGTGAAGCTTCTCGACCAGTGATTTTCGTGATCAATATGGTTACCAAACATTGGTTATTGATCTCGTGTAGCATATATGAGAGTGTTGTTTACCGATTGAAGGTGACAGTGTAAGAGCAGATTGAATTTAGTGGAATTTGTCATCTTCGTAATCAGAGATATTGTGCAGGAAACAAGTATGATATCTGTGTGTACATCGAGATGAGTAATTTCATTTTGAAACGAATTACTGTTAAATAAGTGAATTAATGCAAGTGTTCGTATGTTGAATTAAGTTTGATAAAATTGAGTGAATTGGTTAATAGTTAGTTTAAAAACAGATGATGCAAACTAATTTTCGTCTGTGCCATTGAACATTGTGTAGAAGATATGAGTGTGATTGTAAGTGTAATTATCGAAGTTTCACTGGATAATTTAAAGTAGATTGTGAACTTGTAGATTGTTGATCGTAAAATAATGATAGATTTGTGTTTCATTTTACAAATCCAGAGTTCTGATTTATGTAGCACAATTATATTGATCAATGATATGAATATTTCACTTGAAGTATGTGACCTTGACTGATTGATTGTTTTCACTTTGTAGTTTGTTTTAGCAATAGACTAATGATAAAACAAATCAATTGGATTCATCAATAATGTTGTAGATCAGAAATATTCATCGATATTTTGAGCAGAGATAGTAAAGTGTCAAGGTATTTCTATATCATTAAATTATTTGTGTATGTTGATTGAAGTTATCTATCGTGTTCAATTGTCAACCAATCACGCTTTCATCTCTCATTTCACGTTGACTGAACATTGAATGTGTGTTCTTCTAGTACTCAGCATCACTTGTTACAACAACTATTCAATACAGACCTGATCACAATCATTACAACTACTGATGAACATAGTGATATTCCATATTCTAATGGAATGAAACTGTGTGAGTGTTTTGATCTTGTCCTTATCAGAAATATAACTTGTGATCAACAATCAAATGGATTTCGTGAGACTGATTGGAATAGTTAGGAAATATGGAAGTATTGGAGTTTGTTTCTCGAATCTCGATCAGTGATGCATCTGTTTATTGTTTCGATGTGATGTTTAGAAGCTACATTGTAGATTGACACAGAAATATATAGACTTTTCTTTTGAATAACAAAATACAATGGAAACCAACATGATTGCTGTGCTCCAATTCTTATCGAACAGATGAGAAATGGCTTCCACAAGTAACTGCACGCACCAAATATCTATTGTGAAGCAACACTAGTGTGAGTGAGCTGAGTAGACACAATGTGGATTAGGACTAACCACTCTTGTAAATTCTTTGTACCCACAATATTGACGATCTATCGACAATGAAACATGAGTTGTTAGTACCATGTTTCACAAACCAGATCATCTTACACAGTCAGTTTGATTTCTGTATCGAATTGAATTGATGAAATGTTGAGTATGTGTATTGGTGACTGAGTGAACATTTGTAGTTGTTGTGAACTTTGACAACATGATGTGATATGCTGTTGGTGTAAGGAATGGACAATTTAAATGGTTAGGTTAATTGGAGATGACATTATGTTGGTGCGTCACTAAACGAAAATCATAACGACGAAGCAACCTACCAAGCGTAATATACCATATGACATGATTGTAAATGATGTATATGATTTGAAATTGGATAATGTCTATAGTTAGCACTGATTGATGTATACAGTTGGTTAGATGTTCAATGAATCACGACACTTTGTGAGTGAGGTGATAGTTGGATGTGATTGGTGTTGAACTGCAAAAATTCAATTTGTGTTCACTGTTCGTGTGAGGAATTACGAAAAGATTAGCTGAGTATTCAGAATTGGAGCGAAAATCATTTACTGATGATATGGGAATGTCAATGAAGAGAAATGATCAAGTTACAGTAGTCTGGTGAAAATACCTATTTGAAGTGATTTGAATCAGTGAGGGATGTTGGAGTTTGTTGGAGTGTGGATTGGTAGGTTACACGAGTCGAATTGTGAAATCAGTTGAAATACTACTTGTCACTCATGTTTAACCGGTTTATTCTTAGTTATTTTCCAATATTAAAATTCCTGTCGTATTAACCCCCAATTTACTAGTTGATTGTTATACTACTTGAATATTGTCAGTAGGTAAATTATGCAAGCGATTACAGATCCTAATTACTTTCTTAAGGATTGACTGCACATATTAAAATGCCACAAAACATTGTGATGTTCGTAATGCATTTCCGAAATAGGTTCTGAGTTTTAACTTCCTTTACTTTCTTTTTAAGGTATCCTTTAGAAATAAAATCCATTCAAAATAAGATTTGCTAATTAACTTACTTACTTTACTTTAAGCTTGTTACCCCTCGTGGAGGAGCATAGGCTGCCCACCAGCATTCTCCATCAAATTCATCCTGGGTAATCCTTTCCTGTTGTTATTGATCCATATCTGCTTATTCCTTCAACTTCCAGGGCAGAGTTTAAATGGTTTGAATTGCTTTTTCTGGTTAGCGTTTTTTTAGCGAGTTAGTTTTTCTACGGTATGGGGTCGCTAACCCCATGCCCAACCCTCCTCCTTTATCCGGGCTTGGGACCGGCAGTACCTCTAGAAGAGCTACAGGCGGAGTTTTGCTAATTAAGATGTTATTGAATTAAAGGATATTTACTTTTGTACTTAGTATGAATAACGTAGTGATCGATTAGTGGAAGCAATAACGAACGTGGATTTCTATATTTTGCCTAGTTTTGATACGTTTTGCCATTGTAAAGCTATAATTTGAGGTATTGGCTATTAAAATATGTATTGATTTTAAACGGTGACTTATGGAATCGGAAATTGATAATGACGGGAGCATGTTACGATAAATTTGATTGTCTATTTCAATGAAGTTACAAACTAGAATGAAACAGCTCTTTCTTACTTCCGGAAAGCCCCCTAAGTCCGTTATCTAACCTTTCTCTTTTTGTGATCAATCCCATATCACCATGTGTTATAGGGTTGATTCTAATCATTTTTATCGTGAAATTTTTACACCTCAATGTCACCATGAAATTCTCAGTGCAGCTATTCTAAGTGATCTACATCTGTTTATGTTGATTGCCTTCTTTCTTACAATACTTCTTGTACTAAGAAACATACAAGCTGTCCTGATTTCTCGATCAAGTTTTATGATATTTCACTGCTCTACTATAGTCCAAGTGTCGTTGTGCATTAATTATCCGGTTTATTTATTCCCTTTGGATCCATTTTGAATAAGAAACATCTCAAAATCACCGTTACTGGGATTCAAACGGCGACAACAAATGACATAATATACTAAGAGATTTGCCACCCAGTCATGGAATTAATTTATGCAAAAGCTATTATCAGTTGCTTGATTGAAACTATTGGGTCATTATCTTATGTTTTTGAGATAAATGAAAGATATACGACATTTAGAAATATCGGATAACCTGTTTAATAATGTAAATCAGTTTAATTACGTCATACAAGAAGGCTACTTTTGAATCACTGCCCTGAAAGGACAATAAACAACACAATTAAAAATATCTATACCAGTTACGATATTCTTTCATTATTTTAGATTATTACTAGTCGTATATCCTACTGGTTCCTTGCTACGTTTTTTCACGAACATTGTTTATCATTGTGGGAACATGATTTGTTAATGCTCATATTCATACATGTAAGTAACTACGGACATGAACTCGATTACGAAAATATCAACAGTCTAGTTTGAAGAAATTCTAAAATGGACATAGAATTTCAAGAAGCATTATATTGAGATCGGTATGCGATTTATGAACTAACTGCTGCATATTCAGTCTACCAGCCCATCCATAAATGATCACTCAATTAAATTGTTAGACTTCAATCAATGAAGACATTCGATAAGAATATAAGGGCAAATAAAAACAACCAAGATCACCATGCTTAACTAATTAAATGTTTTTCAATAAAAAAAGGAAAAGAGTGAAGAAATATTTTTTTAAAGTAGTCGCTGATGATGTCGTTTATCAGGGTAACGGTACATTTTGCGATTCAACTATCCATCTTAGTAGAACGCATATACCACCGAAATTCTCTATTTTTCATAACACCAACTTTAAAAAATAAAATGAGCAATAAATATATTTTGGAAAGTCACGATGATACAGGTGTACAGAAATCCTAAAAGAAAACAGAGAGTTACGTACTAAATAAAGCATGAAAACATACAATAGCTATATTAGATAGAATAACGATTTATTTTCACATTTTTATCTTAGAAATAATATTACTTACTTTTACTTACGCCTGTTACCCCTCGTCAAGGAGCATAGGCCGCTCACCAGCATTCTCCATCCAACTCTGTCCTGAGCCTTCCTTTCCAGTTCTTTCCAGTTTCTATTCATCCTTTTCATATCTGCTTCTATTTCCCGACGTAATGTGTAATTTGGCCTTCCTCTTTTCCGCTTCCCTTCACCATTCCAAGTTAGGGATTGAGTCGTGATGCACATTGGTGATTTCCTTAATGTATGTCCGATCCACTTCCAACGTCTTTTCCTAAATTCCTCTTCATCTGAAAGCTGGTTTGTACTCTCCCATAAAACGCTGTTGCTGATAGTATCCGGCCATTGGATGTTGAGTATTTTGCGTGATACAAATCACCAATTTCCCTGTAATCCATAGAATTGTAGTGTATGCTACTTACGTCTGTCAACATGAATAGTACGTAACATTTATCAGAATTCGAAAGCCTGGTAGCAGAAGGTTGCATAGATCAAGTTGAAGAGAACTGAAATGTAAACAGAGAGTAATAGAAACTAAGGAATAATGACGATTGAGACAATTGATGAGAAATTTGCAAATGGAATACTTAATACATGGTTTTTGCATTTTACCTAAGAATTCTGTGATTTCTCACTACAGGATAAATTAGTATTCCCCACCTAGGTGTTCGTACATTACGGAATTAATTGTTTTTGCGGACCCATGGAGAGATTTCTATCAGATCACCATCAGGGTCCAGGAGTGAACTTCAATTCTGGGGTCCTGCTGCTTATACTTGGAAAAATGAATCACTGTAATTCACGCGGCGTGAAATCAACACACAAAGACTGGTGTGATGTGGGCTACTTTTATCCACACAAGTAGTATATAACGCTGATCGGGCATTGAATGTATTTCAGTAGATCGATAATGAAAGAACGGAAACGAAACGCAATTAGTATGAAAATACATGAACAATTATAATTGGAGACGATGGACTAACATTTGCAGAAGGAACGTTCAAGATTGAGACAATTGATTGATAGTTTGCAAATTAACCATTTAATAAATGGTTGTCAGATTTTACTGAGATATTCTGTGATTTTGTGCTCTAAAACATTCGATTGTCCCCACTCATGTTCTTGTTCACTACACTGGTACAAATGAAGATTTACTGATTCTTCAAAAACACATCCCCAAAACAAGTTGTCCGTAATCATCACTAAACCAAATGCACTCATTTATATTTTGATATTACACATACTTTATGACTAATTAATAAACATTAAATACATGAAAAGATACACAGGTCACAATGGTCGAAAGTTCACACATATCATGCTGAATGGAATCAACATTTAAACGTTACACACATATTAGCATAGAATAATATTACACTGGAAAATATAAAACGAACGTAGTATTAACCAAAATGTTTTATTTACAATTAAACTAATGTCAAAACATCACACTAGCAAGAAAACTAACATCATAAAAATATCATATCACGTTAAAGGAAAACAAGAACTCACCTTATTCTTTCAATTTATCATAAATTTATTATCAATTATTGCCTGAAACACATTTGAATCAAGGGATATTTATAAGTCAGTCAGCTACAACGTAGGACCAGGCACAAATATGCATCGGTTCAAGTTGCCATACCTCATTAGCACAACAAGATGAACACCGAATTCATAGTAGTTAATTTAGTGGTTGTAATATATAAAAGAAAGGTTGTACATAAGGATATAGTACAGGAAGAAAGTTATATATGAAGCAATTTTGATCTCAAGGTTTAAGGTAAGATAAAGAGTGTGTACACCTACGCCATTGTGATTGACTCTGAGACATGTCACCCAGAATCTCCGACCATTGATTACGATAGTCACACGGACCCTAACCAAGTAGTCTGCATCTACTGACATAGCTTGGACTAAAAGTTAGTGACTTCAAGAACTGATGCCACGTTTTGGTTTGACCGCCCCTAACTTTCTTCCAACCATCCTTTATACTAGTCAGCATAGTACGTCTTGGTAATCGGTGTTCAGGCATACGTTACAAGTGGCCTAACCATCTCAGTCGATGAAGATTCATGACCTCACCAACTGATTTACCATCGTTCCCTAATACCCCGTGTCTAACCTCACTATTACTTACCCGGTTATCCCATCAGATGCTTGGAATATTTCTAAGGCATCTATGATCAAATATTAGTAACTTACGAGTATCTTCTGCTCTTAATGGCCACGTTTCGCAGCCGTAAACTAGAACAGAGCGAACTGCTGCACAGTATACTCGTCCCTTAATTGACAGACGGATATCTCATCTTCGCCATAGGTGATGTAAGTTGAAGATTTTTGAACTAGATTGACGATCATCAAACAGTAATTATAGATTAGAAGGGATTTTGTAGAGATTTCGGTATTTTTATATTTGAAATCATGAGTCGATTGAAGCTAGACCACCATGAAAGGCCTGGAAGCACTGGATGGCCGTGGATGCGCACTGCTGAGGAGTTCCATAATAGGACGAAACGGTCGTCCAGTAATGTATAAAATATAAATAATTTCAATCATTAAACTTTTAATGTAATACAATTACAATTATTATTATTATGTAATAGACAAGTTAAATAATAAATATAAGATGTGCATAATTTAAGTATTTGTAATTTTGATAAGCGTCTATTAGTTAAATGATTAATTGGTAATAAATTATATAATTTTTTATATATTTTATTAAATTCTGCTACACGTTGACGTTCACGTGCTGCATGTGCATAACGATATTGTAATGAAGTACGTTTACGACGTTGATGTTCACGATAATATTCTTTTTTATATAAATTTAATTGATTTTCTGTTATATTACTAATAGATAAAATATTAGTAGTATCAGTAGTAGTATTAGTAGTTTGATTATGATTTAATATTGGCACATGTTCTATGGTCATTGATAAGTTATCTTTTTGACCTGTCGTTGTTGTGGCTGTTGCTGTTGTTGAATTTGTCTGCTTTTTTTTATTCGACATCATTATCATTGTAGTTAGATCTGATTTATTTGTTATAAATGATGAATAAAAATTATTACATAATGAATGTTTCATTGTAGGAGATAATATTGACGGATTAATATTCATTATGATGATGATAACAATAATGAAGTGAAACAATTCAATATTACTAAGTAACTGATTTCGTTAAAAAGAAAAGTTTCTTTGCTGAATTCTCTTTTTCTTGTTACTAAATGTAGTTTTTTTTTAAATAGTATAGTTGACAAATACTGTTTCATCAAAACAAAAAATGCATATATATATATATATATATACTCTCTCATCAAAGTATCTTGATTGGTCGGGATAGGTTAATAGGCAAGCAACATTACCGAATGATACAATCCTAGATAGATAGATAGATAGATAGATAGATAGATAGATAGATAGATAGATAGATAGATAGATAGATAGATAGATAGATAGATAGATAGATAGATAGATAGATAGATAGATAGATAGATAGATAGATAGATAGATAGATAGATAGATAGATAGATAGATAGATAGATAGATAGATAGATAGATAGATAGATAGATAGATAGATAGATAGATAGATAGATAGATAGATAGATAGATAGATAGATAGATAGATAGATAGATAGATAGATAGATAGATAGATAGATAGATAGATAGATAGATAGATAGATAGATAGATAGATAGATAGATAGATAGATAGATAGATAGATAGATAGATAGATAGATAGATAGATAGATAGATAGATAGATAGATAGATAGATAGATAGATAGATAGATAGATAGATAGATAGATAGATAGATAGATAGATAGATAGATAGATAGATAGATAGATAGATAGATAGATAGATAGATAGATAGATAGATAGATAGATAGATAGATAGATAGATAGATAGATAGATAATGAATAGGACAAGTTTACAAATTTGTAAATTTTAATAATAATAATAATAGCGAATGATACACTAACATAAGTAAATAAGTAGTAAATTATATTACATCAATTTTATCTATCTGATGACTAATTAGATTAGTTATTATTATTGTTATTAGTAGTATTAATTGTTTTGGGAATTCCTTTTCTTTAAATTTATATAGCCATAGGCTAAATAACTTTATATGAAATAAATAAACGAAGTAGGATTTGTGTTATATATCGTAAAACTAAAATAGTGTTTAGTATTTCATCTAATTGAGAAGTTACTCTTTTGTTCATATTGTTTCTTTGATTTTACTTTAAGATTTCATGTATAGTGACTGAAGAAAAATATAATCAGAAGGGGTTTTGTAGAGTTTTCAGTATTTTTTTATAGTTTACTCATGATTTCAACTATGAAAAATACTAAAATGTCCACAAAACCCCTTATGATAATGATCGTATGCTCACTAGTGACTGGCTGCATGAGGTATTTCCTTGAGTGCTAGTGAGAAGCAGCGACCAGTGGAGTTCGACCAGATCTGTTGGGAGATATCAACTCACTGAAGACATTGACGAATGGTTGCTCAATTTCGTGGATTGGTTGAAGTTAGACATTAACACCATCGGATGCTGGCTCATTGGTCTAGTCGTTAAGCGCTTGAGCACGAGACTGGTAGGTCCTGGGTTCGAATCTCGCTAGGTGAGGTCATGGATGCTCACTGCTGAGGAATCCCACAACAGGACGAAACGGCCGTCCAGTGCTTCCAGGTTTTCTGTGATTGTCTAGCTTCAAATGACTCGTGATTTCAACCATAAAAAAATATAAGACAGCTAAAAATAATCTGACATTATTAATCAAAACAGAATATGAAATAGAAGATTGTATAATAAATGATTCGAAATTTCATTTAGACGATCATTTAAATGATGTTAGCTAAAGAATTTCATGGAGTACTGTCGGGTGAACATTTTGTCTTAATTTGAGGTTTTCTGACAGTGTGTATTCAAGGCTTCTCATGAGGTTGTACTTATAATATCAAAATCTTGTAGGTAGCATAACACCTCTTAAAGATAATTGAATACATAATCTATGAATAACTTTAAAATGGTCTTGCTGTTTAAAACTGAATTAATCATTAATGTTGCCGAAAAACATCTTTTTTTCAAGCACTTGTGGAGTTTTTTTAAATGATGATTACCTTGTAAACAACTGGGATATTCCAATTTCAAAATATAGTACATATAATTGAGTTCGCTGTTTTCACTTCTGGTCTGATCGCATTTCAATGATCTTCCAAATACACTTTCTAAACTTTTCATCCTTGATTGTTGTTTTGACTTGGCTGACGTCTTTCGACTATCAAGTTGCCATGGACAAAAGCGTCGTCAAACTTTGAGTATCGGTGACATATTTAAATCTGTTGTTTAACGAATTTAATTAAGTGTAGTCACTGAAGGTTATGGCATTTACATTTGAAAGCAAGACTCGACATTATACCATAAACCGTATCCATGACATAAGGGCTTCTTTGTACTCTTTAATCTTATTTTTAAAAGTCGACTAAACAAAGGCTACTACCCACTTTCCTACGTCACATGAAAGAAGTCTGAACACAGTTATTGTATTTCCACATAAACTTTAGGGTTTTTTATTTTTAGCTCTTAAGATGAAATCACCAATAATGGTTATGCTCCAATATGCAACACTCACTAGATAAAGGGACGAAAGTGTGGTCAAAAGTGATGGGGATGGCACAATTAGCAAACGCTGAAGATAATGAGTGTAAATTTAGCTCTATCTTTTCGTAAAGGGAATGTGATGCATACTTATTAATGCTTTATTGCCAAATCACAACTCTGTAATGGCTTTAAGTGTACGAACGTTCAAAATCATCATGATAATGAGATATAACCTCAACACCTAGACTTGAAGCCCAAAATATTCGTGAACATTGAATTCAGTAATGTTAGTAGGGCTTGATTTACTTGGGTTCCTCAGGGATACCACTCAGACTGAACAAAATGGTAATTAGTCTATATAATTCACAAGTGATTTCATAGATTTACACTTACATCCTTTTTAATGTGATCATCAGTCTTGAACATTCTCCTTTGTTAGCCCCAATGACTTACGATAAGAAACCTAACATTCGCAGGATACTTGTATTAGTATCAAGGGTTTTTACTGAGTTCATTGTTATGGAGTCAGTGGTGAAACACTGAGCTCAAGTCAAATAATCAGTCAAATATGAATGCATTAGAAAGTTGAAACTTTTGTCCGGGGTCAGTCAACGACAAGTAGAAAGAGTGCGGAAGGAAAAATTCACAGGCCATGGAACTGGCCTGTGGAGCGGCTGGCAGCCAAAAGTAGACTAAAGGTCTAATGTTAGATCGTTTATGCTACTTCGGAAAACTGCTAATCAGATGTTAAGAATGAACAGTGCTTTTGCTGAATAAGTACTAACATCTAAGCTACAAATATATGACCGTCGTCAGGTGCAATCTCAATGGTCTTGCTCAGTAACAATAGTTAATTAAAAAGTGATATTAGGTAGTGTAAAACATACTTTAGTATCGTTCTAACTTCAAAATTACTGAACGATAGTTATCCTTATGGTATATAGATCATATTGACTTTACTTCCGTTATGTCAGTAAATCCTGTTCATAACAATTAAGACATAAAAGGTTAATAACCAAAGTACTTGCTGAGAGTATATCTTGGAAATTCAGAAATTCAGATGAATGATAAGAAACAAAAAGAGAAAGCTGTAAATTGTAGTGGAAAAGATATTCAACTCCCTGAATAATCGGAAATTTTGTTACTCTTCCCAATCTTCCAAGGAAAGAACAGAAAATACTCGTCTTTCTTTAAACCGACCGCATTACTTCTAATGATGTCGAAGATTATAGAAGAGCTGATACTGGACTAAATGAGTGAATAAATGAACAAACGCGGTATTCTCCATGAAGTGCAACATGGGTTTAGGAATGTGTGGTTCCGTCCATTCAGCATTCTCCTAGAATGGAACATTTGGAGAGTGTGTTGGGACCAAAATATACCGGTTCATTATATTTCTTTCGACTTCGCGTAAGTGTTCGACACGGTACAATACTTGTAGTGAAGATAGAGAAGATGGGTTCCACTGACCCATTTCTATCTTGGCTCCGGAACTATCTGGATAACCGTATGTTCCACACCAAGGTAAATAGAGCCCACGAAAGCTGGAGGTTCTCACAACAAGGAGTTTGACAGGGTACCATCTTAGGTTCACTTCTCCTATTGTTCTTCGCTTATGACCTTCTACATACAATTATCTCAGTGGCACTAATTTAAACAGAGAATGTGAAGATACGGAGATCCATGAAAAACAACAGGATTCATTTGGGCTTGAAAAAATGCCTGATGACAATAGGAGGGTGGGTGGGTGGTGGGCAACCGCTCTACTTTTAATCTGTCTTAATGTCACGTCGTAAATGTTCAAATCCATGGAACACAAAAGACGTATGTACCATACGATAATCCTCTCCCAGGTTTTCCCACAGAGCGTTTTTAGGCCTCCTAATCACAGAAAGCTTGGACATTAGTGACAGCTACCAGGGACATGCAGCCAAAATTTACTGTGGTGTTTATATGAATGAATGATTTCTTAGCATCAGTGACTTTCTATTTTGAATTCCAAATACAGTACATTCGTTCGTGCTCATTTAATAATTCTTGATTAAATTGCGTCGTTTCTGAGATTACTACAATTCAAATACTTCAAATCATCACATTGGCGTCGCAACGGAGCCTGTTATGGAACGATTGGATATACATTCAGATTACAATGCTGTGATGTTTAAATAAATCAATGACTTCTAAGTATTGATGACTGTTATAATTTTGAATTCCAAATACAATACATTCGTTTGTGCTCATCTAATACTTCTTGGTTAAATTGCGTTATTCCTGGGATTACTAGTTCATACTACAATTCAAATACTTCTAATTATCATATTGGCGTCGCGACTGAGCCTGTGATGGAACGGTTAAATATAAATTCAGATTTTAATGCTTTTGAGGAGTACATGGAAAGGTTCGAAATCTGGGCTATGACCAAGGAAGATGATGAGAATTTTAATATTGTGGCCCATTTCCTTACATTCATCGGGAAAGAAGCATACAGCCTTATAAAGATTTTGGC